AGAGATAGAGTGTGTATAAAAACATTACTAAAACTGGTTCCAGGAAGAAGGAATGTCCTGTAGAGAAGGAAGCCAGGACAAGGATGGTTTTGTTTACTTATGATAGCAAGGGGCAACGACCACTGTGCACCTCTGCTTGCTACACAGACTACCTCAAGGCTAGTACAGCATCGCTGGGGCTTCATGTAGGCTGAGTACATTACACACCTGTCATCATGGTGCCCAGTACTGCCCCAATAGACTCTAGGTCCTAAAACTTTCAAGAAAGGAATGCCCTTGGTTCCCAGGACTAGGAGCCCATTCTGACAGAATAAGCAGCAAGAAGACACCTAGGGACTAAGGAGGGTGGCAGCAACAACAAACAAAGGCCCTTCAGTTTTCTTCAAGAATGGTCCCACTTTCCTCTCCCCTTTGCATGTTGGGAGATATTGTAAATGAAATTGGGTTTGTGTTTTGTTTTGTTTTGTTTTGTTTTTGGCCAGGCCTTGTGAAATCTAATCTCCCTGTTGTAAGGAGCAGGCCTGAAGATATGTTATGGGAAATTAAAGCATGCACTGAGCATCACAGACCTCAGTCATTGTTACCTGCCCATCAAACCTGAGGTGGGGATAGGAAAGCTTTTGGAGCAGAGAAAGGAGTAAATAACTGCCTTTTTATGAATGCATATATGACAAGCACTGCGCTATATATCATAACATATCTTCAGGCCTGCTCCTTACAACAGGGAGACAAGAAATTTCCCCCCTCTCAGGTCCTTGAAGGTTTAACTTGCCCCAGAACAGTGAAAGAAAAAGCTGCTTTTATGTGAACTTTTGCAGACTGTGAACTTCTGAGCCCCTCCCCTTACATGCTGGGTATAATTATTATTTGTGTATAATGAAGCAGACATTATTATTCTGTGTGTATATATGTGAATGCATGACCAATGTGTGATTCTGCAACCTGTATACTCAGAAAAATTAGATATTATATCCCATATGATTCAAATTTATGATATGTCAAGGTCATTGTACTGTCATGTGTAACTAATTAAAACAAATTTAAAAAAATAAAATAAAATTCTGAAACTACCTGAACTAGGGGTTCAGGGGATTGATTACAACAAAAGCTGTGCCCTCTAAACCTGGCTGCAGCCAAATAAAACTGTTTCCTGCTATCATCCGTGCCTTGCTTTGTCTGTCCCTACAACAAGAGAAGGCAAAGAAAGAGGTACATCGGTGCATGAAGGGCACTGTCCATCACAATGACAAGGATGAGGGCAGTATTCCAAGCAGTGCAACAAGATACTTGACACAAGAAAGAATGGCAGTCCAGACACAGCAAGGCTCCTACCCTGAGACCTTTGTGATAGCGAAAGTTTCAGAGAGACCATCACTAGTGACATTAAAGACTGTCTGGAACCCCGCCTTTCTGTCAGCCAGCACTGTAACTGCTACTTCAAGGAACAAACTAAGCAGCACCCAATTCCATTATTGAAGCATGTTTTCTCTATATGTATAGCTAAAAATGCTTCACAGCTGCTTCCATTTGATTTAATTATCTATTAAAGAACAGCTCTTCTTACATTGTCTCTCCTTTACCATAACTGTAATATACTTTTTAAACATAAAGTTCCCAGTTGAAAGGGGTATGATTATGCATTGTTTTCTACATAGGGCAGGCAGATGCAGACCTCAGGATGTTAGATTTGTCTTAGTGTTTTAGTGACTATACTTTGATTCTTGGCTATACTCCTTCACTTCTATATCTACAAACTTTTAAATGAATTTAGCAGACACCTGTTTCTTGTTCTTTTGAGTAGCTTATCAGATTTGGATAGAATGGACATAATGGACCAGGCATTCACCATAGGAAATCTCAACCTTTTACAGCATATCCTTTTGGCATACTTGCTTTCTATTTGGCCCTTGCTCTCTCTACCTTATGACTTATTTGAAACAATTACTCCAATAGACCCCCCACCTCTGATGCAGTAGTTCCACACTCCAAAAGGCAGAAGTTTAAGGTTTTCCATCAACTCTTTCAAATCCAGGCCATTCTGATATGATCGGATCCTGATCACTTATTCTGCATCCCACACACTGTTGATCTGAGCACACAGAGAAGGACAGAAGGATAATGCTGGGACTGGAAGAATTATACACACACACACACGGGTGGAAAATGAAAACAACACCCTACATCTAACAGGCACTTTACAAGGGTAACTATAATATCCCCAAAGTGAACAGGTTCTGGTTATTTAAAAAAGTTTGCTAGGATTATTATTTCCCTGCTCCCGGGCTTTTCTTCAAATGTCTCATAATGGAATATATTTTAAGAACCACTTTCTGAATTTCTCATTTTTCTATTCCCATAATAGCTAACATTTAAGTTTTTAAGGATGTCATATTGTGAAAAAAAGTCATTTTTTTTCCTTTAAAAAAATCTGGGAAGTCATTCTATCATGATATTTTGTGGTTTTCTTTTATTTTTACATTTCTATGATTAAATGTCTGTGTGCAGACTTTTTCCCATGATTGAAATTGTGTTTAGTTTTGTGTTATGAAGCTATAGCTGGCACTTCTACTGTTGAGTAGAGATAATTCTCTGTGCCTCTAATTGTGGAAACTTATGACTTATGACTATGGAAACTTATGCAAATGACTATCAAAGTTTATTTTCTACAGTATTACAACTCTCTGGAGTCCTGTTTCATATCCTCATGTTATCTACTTTTACTGTAGTTTATGATGCCACAATGTGTCTCAGTGACTGTGTTTTGTTTCACAGTGCCTGATAATACAGGTTGATGAATACTAATGTGAGCATTGTAGGTTCAATTAACATATTCTGCCCAGTGTCCTTCCCCTTTTCTAGTATTTTAATCCTACCCCAATACTTGTATTGCAGAAAGGATTTATTTTAGTAGATACCACCGACTCTTATCTTCAAATGTCGTTTTCCCCACAGCTTCTCACCTAATTTTGTCCTGCTAGAGAGCTAATCAGGTATGCAGGGCCTACACAGTTGCTAATACCTTGAGGGATCTGCAGCCTCTACTTTGGACTGGCACCCTTGGATATGGCACAGGACAGATCTTCTCCATGGTTTCTTCTTGGAGACCAAAATCCAAGCTTTCATTCACCACAGCTGAGAGGATTTTGCAGCTTTGTCATCAAAGTCTACTCCTTAAACTTCTGGTTTGGATTCCTTTATCATCCTGAAGCTATAATGCAATAAACTTAATGGGGAAGAGAATGATTTATGGACATCAGTAAACTGCTCTCCATTAAGATATAGCAGGGCACAGTACCAAGTAATTCTGCTAAGAATAATGCCAATAATGTCTTCCACCCTACTCAGGGATCTAACTACTGGGACCTACATGATGATGGAGGAAGAAGAAGCCTACTTCTAGGATCCCAAAATACTTCCTTTCTATCATCCTCACTCTGTCCCAGGGACTCTTTCTTCCCTAAGGAAAATCATAGGTAACTGATCTCAGAAATTTAGACCAACAAATTTGAAAAACCCATGTACTAGGAAGTGAGACCCCAGAGATATTTGGGTTATAGTCCCTCACCTCCACAACCTGCAGGCCTTTAGACTCATGGGGCATCACAACACAATTGAGTCACAGAACCTACCTCAAAGATGTGCATCCTCCCCAGCCCTAAGGGCATGAGACTCAGTTGTTCGACCCAGACTTGACTGTCTCCTGAAGTTCACCCTAAATTTTTAGTCTTTCATTTCCTCTTAACTTTCCAAATATGCTTCCTCTCTCCCATATTTCCATTAATTTTTATCCTTCTACATGTTTACCTTTAGTCACTGGTACTCTGAAGAATGATGAGTCACATCACTAATGGATCAAAATTTTTCAGTATAGGTGGATTGGGGAATTGACGACTTTCACTGAGGTGTAAGAAACAAAGAATTTAGAATAAGGATGGACTGAGAAATCCTGAAATAGATTTGGAAATACTAAGCCAGAAATTCACCTGAGATACTCAGAAATAAAGTTGGTACACTGGGAAAAGTACCAATATTAAACTAAGAGATTTAGGAATCATTATTATAGAAGATTCAGAGTTGACTATGAAAGTGGCCAAATTCTCTGAAAGAGGAATAAAGAAAGAATTGTTAATAATATGCTCTCAGGAAACACCATTCTGTAAGGGAATGGATTAAAAATACATTAAAGGAAGCATCTTCAGGAAACAAGTCCATAGATCAAATTCTGTAAAACATTTTTGTAATGTGGAAAAATGGAAACGTTTCTGCACTTTAAGTCTCTTACTGGAATGGATGGTGAAACATCAGCATTGGAAGGGATGCTTCTTTGTACAAGAAATTCAGGGGCAAAAAATTCAAAGATCATTTTCAATAACTGATAAGATAGCAAATTTGAGCATTTTGCAGGTTAAAAAAGAAGAAGCCTGCATAGAAAGATAGAATGGTGCTTCAAAAGTAGAGTAGATTTCTGGCACAGGCAGATGCCAAAGGAAGAACTTTAGCAAAGAGGTAAGTTACACCTATTCTGAAATATTGACAGACTGTACCTTGAGACAAGGAAAACAAAGATAAAAGAATAAACAGTTTCAAGAGACCATAAGGAAATTCATGGCTTCTTGGGATAGCAAAGGCTAGAATTCTAAGTCATTCTGGAGTGGATTAGAGATGACTCAAAATTTCCCCACCTCATGTTCAAAATTTAAAAAGACTCTGAGGTTGGAGAATAGATGAAGTTCCCAAAATCTTAAAACATGACCCATACTTTTCCAGATAATGCTCCATTTGCCCACCTACCCCTCAATTTACATCACACGCAAGATCCAAGCAATCTTTTTAATGTAGAACAGGCTTGGGCAGTGAGACAAGAGCTGTCCAAATATGCTCACAACACAAGCAGGAGGAATTCCCAAAATAAGTGACTTCCCTCCCCCTCCCCTTCCCTCTCCTTTTCTTCCCTCTATCTAGGGTGGTGCAGTGTGGGCATCAGCTGGAAGGTCCTGGGCCTATGGCATTCCCAGCAGTCTCTCAATGGCAGCGTAGATGTCTCCATCTGTGGCCATCAGGGCCTGCAGGTTGGCATCATGATTAGCAAAACCCAAGGCCTTCAGCTGCTCAAGTTCTTGATGGTAGCGACCTTCGGTGACAAGGTATGAGGATAATGAGGACTGGGTAGACTGCGAACAGGCATGGACCAATTCATGAAGGAACTGAAGAACAGCCAAGGTGGGTTGCACAGAGTTTTCTCTATGACCCCTATTTTCTGCGACTCCTCTAGCCCCATGTGGCCTAGCTGGGTCCCGTAAGAATGGACCTAGTGCAGGCACCTCCCTGGACAGTATTTGTAGGCCTTGTTCTATCTGTATCAGTGCCTGAAGTGCTCGCGGGTTGGTGAGAATGGAAAGTATTGGTATCTGATGATGCATGGGACTGCCAGTTGTCATCTGGTGTAGCAGACTTGGATTCTGCTGTAGGGCATACAAGAGTCCACGCAAAATAGAGGGTGAAGGTCTCAGCTGATTGGGTAGAGAATTTTTCTCTATGGACTGCTGGCTATCCTGAGAAGAAGGCTCCTGGCCTGAATGTATGTCTGGAATACCAGTCCTATGCCCTGAACTGGCCTGATTTGAGGCCATGCCCCTGACCTGGGTAACCACTCCTGTACTGACCTCTTGTTCCAATGGCCTAGCAGGCACAGAAGCAGTAGGAATGGTGGTGGGAGTATCAGAATTGCCATGAGCATTGGTTTCTCCTTTGCAGGACTCTGAACCTGAAATGTGGCCTTTAGAGACAACTAACAGGGCCAGAGTGGAGAGCATGAGCTGCTGGAGATCAGAGCAGATTGGATGCATGGCATTGTCACCACCTGGCACGGCCTTCAAGGTCTCCAGCCTCTGTTTCCCTGCCTCCAGGAGCTCCTGCTGCTGGGCTCGCTTCTGCAAGGTTTCCAGAGTCTTGAGAGCTGGGTCATGTTTCTGTACTGGCCTTGAGGATTCAGGAACGTGGTTGCCAGGAACGTGGTTGCCAGGAACGTGGTTTGCTTGTTTCTCATTGCCCAGACCTTGAATTAAAGGGTCTTCCAAGAACTGCACCACAGACTCTGGTGCAGTCATCAGGAGTTGAGTCAGCTGGCTAAAGAAGTCAGCCAGATCAGGTGAGCTCCAGGCCAGCCGACCAAGCCTAATGAGCATCGAAGCCCCCTCAGAGGCTAGTGCTTCAGAACGATGGGTGCTGTGGCCTGTGGTGCCTGGCATAGCTCCAGGGATGGCTAACCCTTTCAAACGAGTCCTCACCACCAAGTGGACTGTAGTGCCATCCAGGATGCCCCGCTGGCTCAGTATATCTTGATCCCTAAGGATTTTTCCAGTGAAGATGAGTACCAATCGATCAATGTCACAGTGACGGCATTCAGCGATCTGCTTTTTAAAGTGACGAACACTACTATCTTCTGCCAGCAAAAATTCCTGGCAGTCCCGTGGGGTCTTGACAGACACTCGGATGATACGTGATGACGGCTCCCTACCAGACACCAGCTGGCTGTCCCCTGCTTCTTTCCTAGCCCGTGCCATATTTCCTTGAGACAGAATGCTAGGCCACCTAAGGATACTGTGGGGCACAGACCTGTAGAAGCCTAGATGTGGCACTGAGTACACGTGGGTGCTGGGATCAGTAGATGTCCAGTGATGTCCTTTCACCCACGTCCTGCAGAGGCCACCTCCTCAGTGTAGCCCTGCAGCCACCTGGCTCCCTTAGAGGGGGCGGTTACTCCACTCCTGGACCAGCCTTTGGGGATATGGTGTCAGTGATGAGGTCACAGTTGAAAGGCAGGCATGAATGGGGGAAGGGCAGAGGTCTCTACAACCTGCTTGAGGTTAGGCTCTCTTTATGATTTGATTTTTAACAGCAATAGAAAAAATAATTAAGTGTCCTTTCTAGAAGTATGTTTCACACCATCCTGTTTCACTATTGAATATTCTACCAGTGGCACTTGGCAAATATGGCTGAATAGGAAAGTCACTGATCTAAGCATTAGCTTAGGAGGTACTAATTCTAGTCACTAAGTTACTATCAACTGACCATGGCCCAGCCAAGGTCTCAAGTCTTTGTTTCTGTATGAATGGAATGGCAATATGTATCATTATCCCACAGAGCCTCACAGAGATCAGTAGCTAGCTTGCACCCCAAGGCCTTTCAGGGATGAAGGAATCCATCCACATGTTTCTAACGACACCTCCATGTTCCCCAAAAACTTGTAAGCAAAATTGCTTTCAGAGAAACAAATTGTGATCCCAACTCAGAGGATCAAGACTGAGACAAGATAAATAATGGGAAAATAACCGTATCTGGGTCATATGACTTAACAATTATTAGATTTAAGGTAACATATTTACTACAAAGGATACTTATCAATTGGGAGAAGACATTTCAACTGTAAAAGCAGAAAACAGTGAGTCTCTGAGGCGCTGTTTGGATCACTCCAGGTAAAGTCAAGTCTAATTCCTGCAGCGACTATTGATGACAGTGAAGATGAATGCATCACGTTATCTTAGGTTCGTAGCATTAGCTCTCACTATTATACACTTAACCCTTTTCCTGAATCTGAAATTTTCAGGGATGATAAAATCAAATTTTGGCTGCCTAGAATACTACCTGCAAAATATCTTGCTGGGTGTGGGGAACATGAGCATTTAGATCCTTCTACAATCTCATCATTTATCATATATTGATATATATATTCTTAAACAATGATTTGTTTTTGTTTGTTTGTTTGTTTGTTTTGATACTGGGAATTGAACTCAGGGCACTTTACCACTGAGCTAAATCCTCAGCACCCCCCATACACACTTTTTTGTTTTGTTTTGTTTTGTTTTTAATTTTGGGACAGTCTCGCTAAGTTGCTGAGGCTGGTATCAAACTTGTGATCCTCCTGCCTTAGTCTCCAGAGTCACTAGGATGACAGGTACGTGCTGCAGGCAAACACTGATTTGTTGGAATCAGCATCTCCATTGTCCAATCAATATCAAGATGAGTTAAGTTGTAAGTTCTGAGTTTCAAACAACCACCCACTCAGGAACTTTCATAGTGCCTCATGACTCACTGACACCCAGCCAGACTACTGGGCCTCTCCTGATAATGCCCAGACCTCCAAACAGCTTCTAACATGCCAAGTATTAGAAGCACACCCAGTTCCTCTGCAGATTCTGTTTTGGTTGCCCCCAGCAGAAGCAGGTATTTTAATTAATGGTTCTGACTCTCTCTTAGGAAATACATTAATGTGCAGCTGGGGTTAAAATATCAAGAATCACCTTTTCATATCTGGTGTTTCTAGGGGATTTTCCCCTCATAGACCTGAGGTTAACCAACCCTTGCTCTCCTCTTCTACGGGCTCTATTATCAGGGATTGAAGAATAGCCAGGAGCAAGTTTTCAGAGGGAAATCAAGAATACTCTTTTTGACCCAAATTTAGTTTCAGGTCCCTATTAGATATCTACAGGACCCAAATTTAGTTTGAGGTCCCTGTTAGAGATCTAGAGTTGCCATATATCAAAGCTGGAGATGCAGACCTGCTGTTCCTCAGCATATATGGGTGTTATTGGAAAACATGGGACCAGCCCATCTACACTGACTGTGCAGACAGAAAAAACCATGTGGAGCCCAGAACTGATCCACATGCATGACTACTTGGTTTCACTGGGTAAATTTACAGAAGTGGAATTACTCTTGGGTCAAAGAATATCAAAGTTTTAAGTTTATGCAACAATTTAAAGTGCTAGAGAGGCATCAAGGCCAATATTTTATAGGAAAATTTTAAGATTTAGATCAAGATGATTTAACAACCTTTTCTTATTAATGCATAACTGTATGCAATCGTTGAACTCCACGCTAGAAATTTAGTCTCTAGGAGCCTTGCAACTAGCAGTTTTGTGTTAAGTCAGCTTTCTGTCACTGAGACAAATACCCGAGATGACTTATAAGAAAGAAAAACTTTATTTTGTCTCATGGTTTCAGAAGTTTTAGTCCACAGTCAGCCGATTCCATCACTTTTAAGCCTGTGACAAAGAAGAACATCATAGTAGGGAGCACAAGGTGAAGCCAATTTGCTCACCTCATGGTGACCGGGAAGTAAAGAGAGAAAAGGAAAACAGGTTCAGAGTCCCAATATCCCCTGCAAGGGCACATCCCCACTTCCTTCTATCAGGTCCCACCTCTTAAATGTTCCACCAGCTCTCAAGAGTACCATTGGCTCAGGACCAATCCTTCAATACCGAGCCATGGGGGACACTTAAGATGCAGACCATAACAACTTTCTTTGTAAGTTTAGGCTCAAGTGTGTCCCGTGTCAGATGAGCAGCCTTAAGGGATTCTTTAAAATTGAAGAAGGAGAAAGATTATCTTGTGGTTGAGGCAACTGCCTAATATATCCCTAGCAGGTACTTGAGGTGTAACAAGCATGATATATTATTATTGATTCTAACTTCTAAGCAGGGAGAGAAAATTAAAGTTAAATAAACAATGCATACATATATATTTTAATATACATGCATAATAAATTTACAAATTATTTACATAGGTATAATAATCAATAACTAATAAAACAAAGTATTAAGAACTGAAAAGAGGGGGCTGAAGTTGTGGCTCAGTGGTACAGCACCTGCCTGGCATGTGTGAGGCCCTGGGTTCAACCCTCAACACCGCATATAAAATAAATAAAATTTAAAAATCCATTTACAACTAAAAAATATTTTTTCAAAAAAAGAACTGAAAAGAACATGTTAGTCATATCTAAAAGTAAAATGTTTGCTGATTAGTGACTGAATAAAATTTATAGTGTTAATAACATTAGGTTTTGGGGTAAGGGAGCCTTCATGTATAGATACAAGGACCAAAATTATGGTTATAGTAATCAATCATAAGGCACTCATTAATATTTTCCAGAATTAAGAACAGGCAATAGAATATAGGAAGGATAATGTGGGACAAAGGGGAGGAAGTGATGGAGATGGAAATTAAGCAAATTATGCTCCATGCATGTATGATTATGTCAAAATGAACCCTGCTATAATGTATAGTTATAATGCACCAATAAAAACATTAAAAGGAACAGGTAAAATTTGTCTGTGCAATGGAGAAGCAATGCACATGATCACCCCTTCATTAGTTAGGCTTTTTTACGTTTTATTCCTTGAAGTCCCTTTTTTAGTTTACATTGAGTCAAATTAATTATTCTAACTGAGGATTCATGGGGTTTCATCTTATCAAGCCCAATTTGTAAGTATCGAGGCTTATTTTATTTTTATTGTTTATTATTTTAGATTGTCAATGCACAATATATAATATATGGGGACAATGGGTATTATAAGAATGGAAAATTAAGACAAGAGTTAAAGTGAGGCTGTTATGGTTTGGATGAAGTGTCTCCTAAAACTCATGTGTAAGACAACACAAGGAAGTTTAGAAATGAAATGATTGGGTTATGAAAGCCTTAACTTAATCAGTGAATTAATCCATTTAAATGGTTTAACTGAGTGGTAATTATAAACAGGTACATTGTAATTGAAGGAGGTGGGTCAGTGGGAGAATGTCTTTGGATTAGATTTTATTCATGGTGAGCAGAGCTCTCTCTGCTTCCTAGTTGTCTTATCTTGAGCTGCTTCCCTCTGCCACACCCTTTCACTTTGATGTTCTGCCTCACTTCCAAGCCAAAGCTAAGAAGGTGACTATCTATGGACTGAGACTTCTGAAATGTGAGCTCCACATAAACTTTGTCCTCTATTTTTTTTTAAGTTTAAACCTCTTTATTGTGTAGCTAACACCAATTACATCTCAAGACAAATAATATCCTTTACTCAAACACCTGGTACCAAATGTGGCCATTTCAAATTTCTCCCTCATCGGAGCCTCTAATCTTTCAGGACTATTCAAACAATAATTGCCCTCTGATTTTTAAAAAAAAATTATTCATTCTTTTTAGTTATACATGGCAGTATAATCTGTTTTGACATATTTATACAAACATGGTGTATATCTTATTCTGATTAGGACCACAGTCTTGTGGATAAACACGATGTTGAGATTCATTGTGGTGTATTCATATATGTACATAGGAAAGTTATGTCAGAATCATTCTAGTGTCTTTCCTATTTCTATTTCCTCTCCCTTTCCTTCATTTCCCTTTGTCTTATCTACTGAATTTCTATTCTTCTTCAATCCCCTTCCCTTATCGTATATTAGCATCCGTGTATCAGAAAGAACACTTAACCGTTGTTTTGGGGAGATTGGCTTATTTCACTTAGCGAGATAGTCTCCAGATCCATCCATTTACCAGCAATTGTCATAAAGTCATTCTTCTTTATGGCCGATTAATATTCCATTATGTATATAAACAACATTTTCTCTATCTATTCACTTGTTGGTGCACACCTAGATTGGTTCCATAGCTTAGCTATTGTGAATTGTGCTGCCATAAATATTGATGTGGCTACATCACTATAGTATGCTGATTTTAACTCCTTTGGAAATATACTGAGGAGTGGGATAACTGGGTCAAATGATGGTTCCATTTCTAGGT